GAGATCGACACCCTGATGAGGGATCCGTGGGCGCTGGCGGGGTGTGAGTGTTTTGGTGGTGGAGTGAACAGTGCAGGGAGGGTGGTTGTTTGAACTTTCACTTGGGACAATATTTTTTTGGTAATGGTGGAGCATCGGTCGGAGCATACGACATAGAAATTTTGGCTTTTTTTTCATTTTTGGAAAATGTTTATGACAGGTAATAGGAGTTTCAGCAGTTCAGTCTATTGCATAGCATATATAATACAACAAGCTACGGTAGCTCGATGAAAGCTCCGAATTTCAAATTACTGCTAAATGCACATTCAAGCAATATGATACTATCACAGCCGCTGTATGGTCAGGGGACGAGAGGAGCTCTACAAAAATTGCTTCGTTGACAAGAGAAACCGCACAGGAGCTTTAAAAAATAGAGTAGTGAAGACTCCCGATCACCATGTTCGAGCAACCACAGAACACAACCAAGTACTCATCCAGACCATCATCCAGACCCCTAAATCCAAATCTGGACGCATCCAGTGCGAAGGGTGGGGGAACTGTCCGAACACAAACTTCAATAGCAGCCTCGGCAAGACCGAACAAAACCGAGTGACCAGCCTGCCCCTCACACACCATCACTCGAGCCTGTTGTCTACCCCAGCGACCGAATAGGGAATACAGCTGGGACGTGAAGGCAACAGGAATAAAAGAGGCCTCCGAAAATCACGACGCCCTGACTCACCCGTAGGTAATAGCGGAAGATCGAACCCATACCGAAAACGTCATACAAAAAACTATGTACTTGTACTAGTACTAGGGGGTTGACAAAAGTCGGGTCCTGATCCCAAAAGAGATGTGACATTTGTATGTAGGCTAAACCAGGTTAGGAAATTCAAGTGATTGCTGGTGAGATTTTATTGGTGGTGGCAAAAAGTCAGGTCCCTTCAAAATGAGGAGTACTGCAAGTGATATATTATGAATAAAATCAGCAAAGAAATAAAGTCTATACTATGTGCACTAAAATATAGAAATTAATATCCAGTTGGTCCTCTATCAATATCAATAATGGCCTGGAGGTGCTGTGGCATTGTTCTGATCATGTCTTCAAGGCTTTCAGTTGGAATTGGATTCCAAACAGTATTGAGAGCATTCTCTAGAACATTGGAATATTGCCAACCCATTCCCTGGTTTCCTTCCAACTCATTTTCCATATCTAGCACGTATCTAACTATAATTGTTCAATTAATTTTAAATTTGGAAATTGAGCATGCTACAGAGTACTCTCCATCCCATTTAAGTTTTAATACTAGTACTTACAGGCTTTGTATAAATCTTATTTCATTAACAAAAAATCAATCAAGATATTTTTGCCACAGAATGTGGATAACTGTTTTCTAAAGTCAGTGCACACCACTACAATATTTATATCAATTTCTTTGTACTTCATGTATTGTTTCTAGTTTTTTGTAGGGTTCAGTTAAACGGAATTTTGTAGCAATTTAAGAACCTCTGGACCTCTCTCTACCAGAGAGAAAAGTATTGTATGGTTAGGTAAAGTAATGGTAAATTATCTGTTTCCAGGGGTGCCAAGCTTGCATGAAACTGCAAAGTAAGCCATGTTTTTTTTCCACCTTATTAACTTTGAAAACCCCTACCGCGAAAGTATGATAACTGCTATATACCGGTACAGTACCTCATCCCGAATTATTACACCAGACGCACGACCAAGAACTACCTTCAAGTCCCGCAAGCGTTGTTGGAGTTATCATACACCAGCACATTATCCCACCACAATAATCCGAATACCACCTTTCCTCAGTTAGACGTTGTCAGTGGTCTACGGCCACTTTGTAAAGTTCCGATCGTCAAGTACCTCATTCCCGCCGCAGATCGAATTCTCCGCCAGAGCACGCGCTCCGGTACAGTACGTACCGCCCTACCTCCCTGGTATGAATATAATAAAGCGCAGCACGTCAGTTAAACTTTGCTTTGAGGCAGATTACCATCAAGATAGTACCGGCGCACTACTCGACTAGGCAACATCCCGGATTGTCTCACCACATCTCACCCGGCAAAATCAGCGCTGCTGGCCTTAGGCGAGAAGAATCCGAAGATGCCAATCGGGGGTGTATATGTTCACTCAGGTACGCATGCATATCTTGCCATATATATTTCGCGAATCCCGGCTTTCGGATACCGGTACTTCTTGCTTGGGACGAGTAGTAGTAGCTTATCTATCAAAACAAGGTTTGCAGCGAAAAAAAGCTTTGATATTCCAACTACTTTGACCTTCGATACAGTAGCATGTTCCATCGACCTTGACCGAATAACTAGGCTCTCCGAGTATAAGAAACAAATAAATTGCCCCAGTTTCTTTCGTGGCCCTGGTTTTGACAGCCAGCAGTGTATAATAGGGGATTGGAAATCTACTAGCACCAGACTACCGATATATCCGTTCCGTCATTGCACGGCTGCAGACTGTCCTCTGCGTGCACACACCGCCATGAATAGCACACTGGAGTCAAGTCCCCTTCATTACGGTACACCCAAATCTCCAGTCACTCCGCCGTACTTAGGCATTATCTGCTCGCTTGGACTGTTTAGAAAGTCCACAAACTCAAATTCGCAAATATATCTTTCCGGATTGTTAAAATAAAATCCGGCCAATGGAGCTCTGAGTTTTGGGAAGGTCCTCGTGGCTTGTCAGGGTTCTGCAGGAGGCGTCTTCCAGATGTTACAGAATTATTGCCGGAGGCAAGAAGGATTTCGGGAAGTCGAGTACCCGGGGAAAGGGAGCCAGCCGTGGGTAAAATATTCGGCTTCAAGTGCGGAGGCTGTACGGTAGTTGTGAGTTTGAAAGGTACAGGGTGATTAGAACAAAATGTCTTGAGTTGTTAGCTGTGTCCGTGAGCAGGTCACATCTTAACCAACCAACACTGGCGTAGTTAAGATAGCCACCAGTACTAGTTCATCTACTGTAGGAGACTATTACCACAATCACAGAAGACTAAATACTTATGTGCTAGTAGAACCTCGTCCTCGTCCCTGACTCTTCCGATCATCTGTAACTAACTGCCCACCCAACCTGTGCAAGCTCTTCGATTTCCACTCCCCCTACTCAAACCCCGCCATCCCACTCATTAGTCCAAATAGCTACCGGTATATCTCTTTCCAAAATGACCTTCAATCATTCATGGGCAAACACCTCCCCCCCCCTCAAACTGATAATAAAAACACCAATGAGATAGCCCGCAATCCGGGTCCGCGCCGTTAAAAACCCCAGGCCCCCCCGCAGCCCTTCCACCCACAGAATTTATTCCATCTGCCATGGTCTCATACGAAAACCTCCATCCGGCAAGAGATTACTATCAACAATGTATTCTGAAATGATTTATACTTTGAAAACCAGTACTAAGATCCGAGCCGTGGGACTGGGAACTTGGCCGTCAAAGCCCAATGGGGTCGAAAGGGCTACTGAATGGGCGTCGAAGGCGGGACATGGATAGATGTTAGTTCTACAACCCAGAATGTATGAGAAAGAAATTTTGGAGGCTAATGAAAGCGTTTTAGCGATAGAGCCATCTGCAATAACGAATCAAGAATTCTGGTGTCCCAAGAGAGGGAACATTACTTGCTATCGGTGGCAAGCCCCCGAATCACCCGAGACCAGCGGGGACGTCTAGAAAGGACTACCGGTAGACCGAACAAGACCTTACTCTCTGGATCTATACGGAATACCTCGTACGAGTACGGTAACTGCCCCTCCCCTTCCTCCCACCCACCAGCAGGAGCCAACCTCCACACCGGCAGATCTGCTGGCGCATTGTCTTCCGTCCGGGAAATGAACAGCTCCCCCATACTGAAACCGGCGAGTTCGCACAAGCAGGCATCCTCGCCGGTGACACCTAGACCGCGATGGAGAAACTCGCGAAGGAGGGCAATGTCCGCGCGACCGCGGCCCCCAAATCCAACATCCGTACAGTCTCGGAGGGCTCCCAAAAACGGTCAAGATTGTGCCGGCTGTTAATCAGATAGAACTCCATCGAAACACACCCATTCCTGCAACTGGAACACCCTAGCTAAAGAAATACTTCGATGGCAAGGGAATCCATGTAACCGCCTACAGTCCATCGCGAAGCAACACTTATGGAAAGGAAACGGTTATCGATGATGAGGAGGCTCAAAAGATCGCAAAGGAGATGGGGAGGACCTCGCGCAGGGTTTTGATCGATCGGGCGAGTAAGCAAGGCACCAGTGTTATACCCAAGAGTATCACTCAATCGAGAATTGCGTCGAATTTCGAACGTGAGTCTCTCCTCTTTGTCTCGAGTCTACTGGATATTGCTTGTAGACTAAAGGAATAGAATCCAATGTGGGATGGCTCCTCCAAAAAGCCGGAGCCCCTGGACAGGCACAACGATCCCATAGCATGGGGGTTCGATATGCCCGACGAACGCGACGAGGCCTATATTAAAGGAGCAGCCAGGGGATGAGTTGGGGAGAACTGGAAAAAGCATCGGGTGGCGTTCATGTGATTGCTTAATTTCCGCTCGCCGAGTATGGTAGACTGATATCATATCCTGGTGCATGAATTGCACCTTCCCTGCTTCAAATATCTGCTCACCACATGGGATTGGTATCAGCCTTGTGAGAGCACGGGGGATGGGCGTTGGTGGGGTAAACTATAATATTATATAATATAGGGTAGAACTTCAGAAAATTTTTAATAATCTTGTCCACGGCAGTTGGCACGAAGACTGCCGCCGTGATTAAAGGTGGATAGAGGACACGGGCAAGCAGTAGAAAGCAACAGGAGCAACCACAATGGTAGTGAGTGCTGTTACAGTACGGTATCTACTTGTACTCAGGTCACAGAGAATCACTCCGCCTCATACGATAATCATCCAGCCCCCCCGAAACAAACTGCAAACAACCCCAGGAAGTTTATATCATGCTCTCGGTGAAGCGCCACTATCCAGTCTCCCACCCCTGCTGGAATCACATCCTACGGCCAGTGCAGGAAAAGCATACCATAAGTCATATATTGTATCAGGTCTAGCAAACACCGTACCCACCTAGAAAGCCCGAGCAGATCCCACATGATGCAGTAAACTATTATACATTAATCACCTCTCACACTTCATGTTTCCAGAGCAACCAGAGCCAGAAATCATGAGAAAACACAGTGTGATGCAAGTTCTCAGTCCACCCCACGCCAACTCCGTCAATCACGCTTCCCAACGTTGTCCCAACCAATCCACATCCGAATAACTCTTATAAGCACACCACGGCATTTCGTTTGAAGCGTACTTCCGCAACGGCAACCCATACGGCATCCTCAACCCCGCTGTTCCCCCATCTCCAATCTCATCCGGGATATCCTTCCTAAATGTCGGCACCATTTCTTCCACGTCTAGGATCTCAGGGTACACCAGAACCCCTGCTTCGTAACTGCAGATGCGCACTTCTCTGTGGTTAATTCTTCCTATCGGGTCCTTCTCTGCGGCGCCCCAGGCTTGGATAGAAATGTTTGCTGATGTTAGAAGGGCCCAATCAATCTGCGTGCAGTCGGTGTCTGAGAAGCGGATGTAGGTTTTTATATGAGGTGCTGCTCTCGCCCTTCCTGCATCCTTGAGAGCGGGGGAGGAGGAGGAGGAGGAGAAGGAGGAGGACTGAGTATTCGGTGGAGGGTTCGAGTCCCAGTGTGTGAGGTGTCGCCGCATATACCCCAGTTGTGCCTGCTGTGCTGGGGACTGAAACTTCATGTGCAGAGATGAGCCACTTCTATATCCATTTAGAGATTCGCGGATTTCGTTGGCCGTGGGGAATATCACGTGGAATTTTGGCTCAGCGGATGCTGTGAACCTGCTCGTTTTCAAACTTGCAAATAGGACTGGGGAAAGCCATGTGTTCTTTGATCCGAGAGTAGCAATAGAGGACACTTGGACTACTATGCAGCCTTTGGCTTCAGGACTTCGAAGGGGCACCTTCCGAAGGACACTGGCCAATCGCCTCCAACCCCATTCGTAGCCTTTCCCGTTGGATGCGTCAATGTGGAATTTCCCGGGGACACTACCGACAAATACTGCTTTGACCGGATCGAAAGAGTATCTCGAAAGCTGTGTAGTGAGAAAGTCTGTCCTCCCCTCGCCATAAGCCGAGAAGTAGGCCAAGATATCGGTCTTGAACCTCTGTCCAATGGGTTTAAAGGTCTGGGCGCGAGGCGATCCATGATCTTGGGGTAAGAGGGGGAGAAGTGGAGATTGCCAGACAGCTTGTGTCATATTCTGCCAGTCGAACGGGATCATATTGGCGGTGTGTATTATGATCCTGTGTTTGTCAGCCCTGTCATCGTCGATACGGATGGTGTCTTACTGAGCATGATCATCGGTCCGGAACAGAACAAACATCTTAGAATGATGGGTTCCATAGGGCTCAGGCATAAAGGCACAAACAAGCTTGACATTAGGATAACTCTCCGCTTGGTCCTACCAAAGATTAGCATAATCCATTCCAATAATGGTGGTCGACTAACGTGAATTCGAGCTCGGTTGGCGTCCTCCCGTCTCCAGCTCCCATGGACTATTCTCACTTTCACTGTGTCCTTGACGTCAGGATCAAACTGATTCCTATATAATCCCTTCCAGTCAGCACATAGCAAAACACGCTAACCGGGAATAACATACATAACCCAATCCAAGTCAAACAAGTAATTGAATATCCAAACCTCCTTGAGTGGACCTCTGCGAAGAATATCTCTAATTCCCACCGCGTCGACATTCTCGCTCTCGGGTAATTCGTCAACTCTCGTGAGTTGGAAGGGTGAAGCTACCCTTATCCTCGGTTTAACAGCCATCAAGTCGCTACTGCCTTCATCCTCAGGCCCCATTCGTGCCTTCCCCTCCTTCAACCTCTTTTCCGATGGTGGAGTTGGAGACTGCGCTTTTCGCTTCAGCATTGGAGGAGAAACTGGAGCGTGTAGGGATTCTAGTTCGCGTGGCGAGGCTCTTTTCGACATTATTGGTATCCTCTTGAGAGACCGAGAGTGTTTAGGGAGGATGGCGTAAGTCAGACTGACGCATAGCAAGGTGGGGGCAGCGGGAATTGAGGGGGAAACGATGAAAAGCTGGGAAAACATCACGTCACGCGCCTAAAACTAGAGCAACTTGGGAATCGCAAATAATGCATGGAAGTATTATCAGGCCGGTGGGGTAACACATCGTAGGCCACTGATATGGGGTTGATAGTTGGGAGGCCAGCTTATTACATTGTGATTTTCGGGACCAGCTGATGGAGTTCCCCTCTGCCCCGTAGACTAAGTTACCGTACTCGCAGTCCGTCGAGCACCCGAGGTCAACGGAGCAGGTCCTACAAGTACTTGTACTAGTACGAGTACAAGTACTTAGTTTGAAACCCTGGTAATTTATTTCCAGTTAAGGAAGGAGACTCTCCAGATCCCATTATTTTCTTGACCGGGTCTCTGAGTACACGTCCCAGGCAAGAAGTATTCGGAAACAGGGGGCCCCTGTCATAAGCTGAAGGGAGGGCGGAAGATGCCTGAATGTTGGAGTACTTAGACTAAAATGGCAGTTAGCCCATGATCAAAGATTGTTAAATAGCTTCCCAAAAACTTATAAACGATTATAAACTATTGAATATTTGTATATAGAGTACATTGAGATAGATATAATAAATATAAATAAACAATTGTAAATATTAAAAATTAAAAATTAGAGAAAATGAAAAAATGATTGGTCTAGTCTACCAGCGAGTATGTTCTCTATTAGCAGCTATAATGGCCTCAATCGGTTTGGGCATGGAATCAATGAACGAAACCACAACAGATGGAGATATCCGATCCCATTCTTCTGGAACTGCAGCTGCCATGGCAGCTTTTCCCCGAACGCAAGGCCACCAGGTGTAATGATCCCTCCTCGGATGGTTAGTTCTTGGCGATGGGGAACAATACTTCTCTTCTCCTTCTTCCTCTTTCTTCGTCTTACGATAGCACTAGGCCTCTACCTACATTACCGATAGTACAAGACCTCTGTCTTCTATCGGAAACGGCTATCGTAAGCTTTCTCTAACTCTTCTCTGTGAAGAGCTTTTTCTCTGCATAACGATAAATATTGCAATAAAGATAAAGATTGTAAAGGTGTTTTATATTCGTTAAAATAATAAGTAGGAAAAGTACTTAGAATAAAGCATGAAGAACCTATCCTTCTCGGCCGCATCTGCCTCCTTATATAGTGTTCTTCCCGCCTGTAGTCATGTGACTCCAAGTGGTCACATGTGCGAAACCAAATCATAACAAAGGAAAAAAAAGTCATGTGACCAAAGTGGTCACACGCTCAAAACCCATGACCTCATAGCAAGGTCATGTACGAAAACTCATAAACCAGTCATAACACAATAAACAAGTCATATGACTCGACTGAGTCATATGCACGAAACCCATGACCTCATAACAAGGTCATGTGTAAAACATAAATCATATGCACAAGGCATACTCACAAGGTACACTTGCAAGGCAAACTCGCCAGGCGCATGTCCCATGACTCATATTTAAGCCATGTGTGAAACATAACAAATCATAACATAATAAATCATATGACCTAAACAAGTCATATGCGTAAAACAATAACATACCTATGACTCATAATCATGAGTCATGTAAAAACCTTTTCCATGCCAAGCCACATTCATGACACCAGGCATCAAGTATACCTTTCAAAAGATTCCAAACATTCTCAATCGGATTCAGGTCAGGGGAGCTAGGGGACCAATTGAACATTGGCATACCATACTCCTCCTGCCTTGCTTGAGTATATCGTGCCTTGTGGGCAGAGGCACCATCCTCTATTACCCAAAGTCTTTGTTGGACCTGGGTACAATCCTGATACCAGAATAGAGAGAGAGCCAGAGTTAAAACATAGGTACAATACGCACTTGCAGTTATTGTACCCCAATTCTCTCGCTCCTAAAGAACAAGAGGTGCCTTTGCTTGACCACATATCCCCCTCCAGATCATGATAGCATCCCACTTCTTGAACTGAGTAGAGAGGCATGCATCCTCATACTCCTCACCAGCGCAACGGGTTATCCAGACTGTGCCACATATGCCTGACAGCCACATGTAGCATTCATCAGTCCAGATAACCAGTTGCCAATCATCTCAGAACCAGCCTCGATAGGTGAGAGTGAATTCAAGCTGCTTAGCCTTCTGGTCTGAATTTACAAGAAGCTTTTTCCAAGCCTTGCAGCTGTGGTAGCCCTCGAGGACAAAGGCTTTTCGAAGTGTTTTCTCTGAGGCCTGGACTCCTCAGATATTTGCGATGTCTGTTAATGGCATCTGACAATGCTTGATATCCCTTGTTGCAGCAGCAACAAGGACTCTGCGGATAGTGGGAGTAATAGAGAAGGGTTGACTCTTTCTCTTTTTTGGTGTTGCTAGTACCTGACAGACATCTGATATAGTACTAATTGCTAACCCTTGGTTATCAGAAATCCGCTGATATCCCCAGCCTGCTTTGAATTGTAAAGCCTGCACTATGCACCTCTCCTTGTATGAGGTTTCCTGGGTTTTAACTTGCGGCATTGTCTATAGATAAATTAGCTGATATCCCATTTTGGTATATTTGGCGCTTCACTTACGAAAAAAACACTTTAAAAGATACAGTATTTTGATATGATAATTGCACCCGATGTTTTTTGAAAAGGTATTTCATGATCTTTAATTAGGGGCTAACTACCTTTTTAGTCTAAGTACAAGGACCTTCACACATCTTCCACCCTCCCTGCAACCCATGACAGGGCCCCCTGTTTCGGAATACTTCTTGTCTGGGACTTGTAGCAGCACCCGATTAACCGTGGAATAAATCGACCCAGGTCCTGAAAGATACAATGAATACCACCAACGTAACACTAGAACCAATAGTTATCGATATCGCTCATCAGAGTGGGTTCCAGGAATCCGGACGGCTTCACGAGCATTTACCACCGTATCAGTACCGATACCATAGCTTGCCCCCGCAAAAAATGCCTCCAACATCACAAGCAATATGATACAAGTGCCACAGTACCTGTAGTGTTCAACTCCCCTCCTGAACTGCTGAGGCGGTGGAAGTCTTTTGCGCGGCCCTGTCAGAGGACAGAGAGGACCGAGGTACAAGTACCACCCCAGCACCCTTCAGCGACGATGGAAGCGCAGGTGCGATCATAGCTGGCACCGTATTGGCCATGGCCTGGGGTTTGCGCATTTGGCTGATGTGAAGTCGCAGCAATTAAACAAAAGTTGCTTATTATTAACCTGTGTCTCAGACACTGACAAGGGCAGCCCAAATTTTCCCAGTGTCTCAGCTGTCCGGGAGATGCCGTTAAGGTATTGCACCGCCACAGATTCTCCATCATAAGTGCCGGCACAATAAATTCAGATTTCCGGGGCACCTACCGTACCATAATCAAAGTGCTATTTCCCCAATGCCCCTTCTTTTACGATACTCGAATACGGTGCTCACCGCCTTCTTCCCAGGATCCAAGTAACGACTGTTGGGTATTCCCCCACATGCACAAATGCAGGGAGTTGAGGGTCTAGTACCAAAAGCACGTCAACACCTTAAGATCCTCAGGAAACACCTGTTGCATTTACCTGTAACTGAATTTGTACTCGCATGAGGGTTTAAATATCTATTGAATATCATACCCACTGATTTTCCCCGTCACTTATCTCGCGAGTCCCTGTTTTCGGGGACCTCTTACCTACCAGGAGCATTGCTGCCTTGGAATCCCCCGTTTCCGATATTCACTGGATCTCACTCGCTCAATCACATTTTGCTTTTAGTCCCTGACCCAAAAACAGCACGAGGACAACTCGCCGCTAACCACATTCCCCCTTTGTCCGAGACCACAATATTATACGGTATGATACGATATTAATCTCGGAAAGATACCCTATCCCGTTCTGATATCAGTAGGATCATGCGATCCCGCAGCTGGAAGCGCTCACATGCCTTGGGGCGGGAGAGCTGTGGGACTGGCAAACCGATGAACGTGAAGGCTTACAGTAAGTCCTCGATCTATAGAGGAAACGGAGATGAGACAATCCATCGCATGCACTTCTAATGACATGATTCAAAGCACGGTGGAGCTCACACACACAATAGGCCTACCGGTGGGATTTCCCAGAGCATCTCCCTCGTCGAGATGTCTCTCACCCTTCATATATAAGGTATGTGCGGGGGTTCAAAAACCACGATAAAACAACTAGTGCACTTAGAAATATAAAGACGTGTAATACTTGGGTAGACATCTGGTGGGCGAGTTTATCGTTCTTCTTCCCCGATCTGCGTACCAGTATTATTTCAAGGCCAGGCGCATCTCACCTCTTTTCACGTGAGTGTCTAACCATAGCGGGACATATCAAGGTTGATACTGGTATTAGATTCGACGCCCCAAGATTATTTCTAATATCATTTGTGATACCTTGAGGCCTAGAAGAAGGTTGTTGGAACACGGATAGATAGGTGAGACATTGGAATGACGGTTTACACGTACCGGTACTGTAGCATGATAAGTGTGCACACCCTCGAGCACATGGAAGTGCTTTAGAAACAACCGTTCCCAACAGTAGGTAAAATGAATGGTGAAGGAGAGAGGCAACGATGATTACCGTACTATGCTTGCTGTAACGGATTAACAGGGAGGCAAGAAGATCACCAGCTCGCTAGCAACCGTCCCACACGTGTATCCCTGGGAAACAATGTAATGAACCGATTCTTCGGGATACCCGCCTGGCATACTATATACCGTGCCCGCACCTATCTGGCGTCGTTTGTTTCTCACCGCTCACACATCCTCTTCCTACTTCTCTTCCCACCTCTCTTCCTCCTCATTCCTTCGCCCATCTCCCAAACTTACCAGTGACCTATCCTCCTCGCCCTCCAGAAGAAAAAAGAAAAGAAACGAAGCTGGTCTTGGCGTGTCACTCTTCGCTCCTTTAATTGACCTGTTTCCTCTGTGTTCGTCTCAACATTGGACCTGAACGAGATCTTCATAGTTACCCGTCTAATCCGCCGGATCCAATTCAATACTGTCGAAAATGGTTTCCGCTGCAGAGAAAAAAACCACCCCCTCGCCAAAGGACGCCGTCACCAAGGTTGTGGATGAGGACGCCATGGGCAACTTCGACGATGCCCGTCTTTCTGGATTGGGATACAAACCTGAGCTGCAAAGAAAGTTCACGCTACTTTCCTGCTTGGCTGTTGGGTTCAGTGTATGTGTTCCCCCCTTGTTTATCGCTGCTGCCGTTGTTATTATTATACCACCAGGGGCAAGGGGTTAACCCGAGAACAAATCGGCCCCAGATTTCAAACAGTTGGTTTGCCGTTACTGGCGCTCTCACTACTGGGATTGGTAATGGGGGTGCATCGATTTACATGTACGGAGCAATTCTCGTTGCATTGGTTCATGTCTGTATCGGAGCTAGTCTGGGAGAATTGGCGAGTGCTTATCCGAACGCTGGTAGGTTTCTCATACACATTCCCCGAAGGTGAATAATTGTTAATTGCTCAGGTGGTCAGTACTATTGGGTAATCAGACTTGCTCCCAATAGATGTAGAGCTTTCCTAGTAAGTTTTCTTTTCCATCCTTTTTGCATTGTTTAGGTTTCGCCACTGCTGCTACCGTGGCTCTCCTAACACGGGGCTCGCAGCCAAGGCGGGGGCTGGTGACCTTTGCGATGGTGAAATTTTAATAACGTCCTTTTTTGGAAATTAGTCTTATCTCACTGGAGTTACTGCATGGGCTGGTGCCATGATTACTGGAGCTTCTGTGGCTCTTGTTGTCGGTCAGGGGGTCGTGGGAATTATTATTCTTTGTAGGCCTGAGGTGGGAGACGCGGTTTTAACCATAAAAAAGAAATTTAAGGCGCTGATTATGACCTAGATCGTTTACAAACAATGGATGGGATTTGTCGGTTACCAGATTGCTAATATTCTTGTCTTCTTTCTGAACTGCTCCAACCGGTTCCTCCCAGGGCTAAACAAGGCCAGCCTTTATATCTCGCTGATGAGTTTCCTGACAATTACTCTTGCGGTTTTGATCGCCTCGCCGAAAAAGGCTTCTGCGGAGTATGCATCACCTGCCTTATTTATTCGCACGGCATCTATACATGGTGATACTGATATAGTCATACGATAGCGCTGTTTTCAGGTCTTATACTAATAGTTCTGGCTGGAATAATGATGCAGTCGCCTGGATTCTCGGCCTTCTTGGGGTCAATTGGGGATTCTCGTGTCTGGATTCATGCGTCCATATGGCAGAAGAGATCCCGCATCCGGAAAAGAATATTCCTAAGGCAATTATGGGTACCGTAGCGATCGGGTTTATTACATCTTGGGTTTATAGCATAGCCATATTCTTCTCTATGCAGGACATTAAAAGTGTGATTACTACTCCAACTACGGTACCGGTCTTGGAACTGTTCCGGCAAGCACTTAGGGGAAATGTCCCAGGAGCGGTGTTTCTGGAAGTGCTCGTTATTCTCACTGCTATTGGGTGCTTAATGAGCATTCATACATGGCAGAGCCGTCTGGTTGGTTATTTCTCTCAATTTCTCCATATTTCAGGCTAATGATGTTATAGATGTGGAGTTTTGCTAGGGACAGGGGTTTTCCACTCTCCTCCTATCTTGCCGTTGTCGCTGGCGCGCCTTATTCTGTTCCCCTTTGGTCTCATATTTTCTCGTGCTTCTGGATTGCTGTGCTTGGTATCCTTTACTGGGTCTCTACCACGGCCTTCTTCTCTCTTCTCACTGGGGGTATTCTCATGCAGTACATATCTTATATGATTCCAATATCTCTTCTTCTCATTGGAGGCCGTCGGATCTCCGCCCCTGGGCCGTTTTATATGGGTAGGTGGGGATGGTTTGCCAATGGAGTTTTAGTTGTTTGGTCACTCTTCACCCTAGTCTTCTATAGTTTTCCCTTCATTATGCCTGTTACTAAGAGCAACATGAGTATGTCTTGTTTCTCCCTATGCCACTTGCACAGGACGGGGCTGACTTTCTTTTTCTGCAGACTATGTTTCGGTTGTGATAGCAATTATCTTCCTTTACGCAGCTGTATACTGGTTCATCCGGGGAAGGAAGACCTTTAAGGGTGTCAAGAGGGTACATGAAATCGCGGCCACGGTGGATATCACAGATGGTCCGGTAAGTGGTCTTGGGGTCGGGAGCCTTCTGGATGAGAGTTTCTGAGTTGTTAATGGATGAGAGTAGTAGTGGGAGTGAATTCGATTAGGTATGTCGAGTGAGAAAATGTGATTTCTGGTTTGCCCTGTCAAACGAGGAAAAAGTTTAGATGTGAATATGATATGATGCCTAAACAGCCTGCGTTAGGGCTATGAGGGAATAACAGATTGCACAAGATCCACGAATTTTAATTTCGGTTTTAGAGGGTTTGGTCAAGTGTAGCGCAGGTTCTCGTGTCGTCTGTTGTAATCTCTATGAAAGTGAACAAGGATATTTAGACTGGAGGGTTGCTTCCCATCGATTAGGCTAAGGTCGAACGTTTGAGCATGTGCAGTAGTAGTGCAGTGACAGAACACTGCACGGTACTATACAGGTACAGTTCAGGTATATATTATGATATCAGGGGATCGGAGGAGTAACACTGCAAGCATTTGTATATGGGGTGGCTGCCATAGTCCATCTTTCAGTATGATATTTGAGCCGAGCTGAAGTGGTTTGGATTGCAAACCACTCCTGCTAATTGTGTAAACCTAACCCTAACAATGTCTTACTCGGGCGAAGAACGATGATGGATGAGGGTTTCGGTGGTGGGATGATGGATGGCAGATGGATGGGGATGGGGACGAAGAGGGAAGTTGTAGCCCCCCAAGAAGAGCATCTCGCATGGGACAGGTGATGCATCATACCTACCAATTGCGGATATTTTAGTTCAAAAATAGCAATGTAAAACCGGTAATAACCCCCTGCCTTTGCTTACATACTCAGATCTCTTCCAGTCTGGCCCTCGAGTCCTTTTCTTTTCTTTTATTTTCTCCAACTTATCGATAAAACTTCAACGCTCTCAAAATGTTCCATCCAAGCTAAAAAAGCTATGGTCGCATCGTGGTGGAATCTTCGACGTTTCAATAGATGATACTTATCAGCTCTGATCTGAATTTGCGAGAATCCTTTTTCGCTTTTATCATAGGCTTAACATCCGGAGGCAAGGTAGTCGCTTGAGGATGTGCTCTCCTGTTATGGAGTTGATTGGCTGGATGAGGAAATGTGATCTATCATATTAGCTTGTTTCGATCAGATTGAACCAATTAGGGGTGAGTTGGCTGTGGGAGGCTGCGGGGTATTGGAGCTTGGAAAGACCCGACGCTGTTTAACTCTCGCCCTTCCCTTCCGACTCGAAGACCTTTCCCCTACATTCTTCAAGAGGTCCAGCCCCCCTCCCACCCTTTCAAGTACGAGTACAACCACCACCACCACCACCACGTACACCTCCACACCCCTCCAACATCCTCGCCCTTTCTCTAACCCCAACGACCTCATCGATCGACCATACATACTAGATAACCATACTTCTTACGCGACATTATTATAGCGCCCTGGATACAATCCTGCCTACCATACAGCAATGAATGACGGCGGTGACGGAATAATCATCACCAGCAGCAAACCTGAGGGTGTCTCGATAGAGGAATTCATTCAGCAGAGCGGCCTAGCCATGCGGGTGCCAAACGAGCTCACCCTCAACAACCATAACAACGCCTCGACAGGTAACTTGGCAATACCTCCCCCAATAGTGGATCCGAATGGTAACCGATATTCCTCACCTACGCGGCTTTCTCCAGAGCGGACAATGGACGACAGGCTATCGCCTGAGCGCGATCTCGGCCTTACCCTCCCACGTTTACCTTCTTCACGGCACGTATCTCCTGCAAGGGAGACTTCCCCGCAGCTGCCTTCGCCTGATCCGTCTGAGCCATCGTATACCCCCGCGCCGACCGCCCCTTCTATGACCCCGCCTTCTACTATACCCCCGTCATCCTTTGGTTCGACAAACCGCGCACCATCGACGGCGGGGACGGAAAATTCATTCGAGTTTCTATCAGGCTACGAACCGGTGCCTCCTTCGGAACGACACAAACAATGGCACCGGGATCAGCGCCGCGATATATTCCACCCGACGCCCACATCCGCATTTCGTCCAAATGCTGACCTTCCGCATCCAATAACCCCGCATTTACTCAGATATTATCCGTACGGCGGCCAGAATGCGCCTGCCCCACCTCCCCCTCCGCAGTCGCAACCGCAACCGCAGGTGCAGAGAGGGGAGGAATTCATGATGACGCGGCGGTACGAGCAAGAGTTACCGCCTCCGGGGCAGTCGCCGTCGCCGTTTAGAGGTCAGGGAGGGATATACGAGAGCAGATTCAGCGCGCGTGGACAGATGGTTAGCGCATCATCAGGTGGGCATTATAGAAGTTCTTCTAGCGACGTTTCTGTCGGCGGCAGCTCATGTAGTGGGATTCCGAGCTTTGCGAGAGAATTGGAACCAAGAGGTTGGAGGTTTGGTAAGAGTTCTTCTTGTCGCGCATCTTAGCCACGTTTTAGCTTTCTTTTTTTTTCTTTATCTGCGATGTCATTGGTTTGATTTTCGCGTTGTTTATTTTATTTTCCTATTTTATTTGACTGGATGAACGCTGACATTTTATTTCGCTGTTCTCAAGATCCTATATTGACAGAATCAAGTCACCACTCTTCGCAGCCCGGATCCGTGCAGAGGAAACCGGATAGTATTGCTTCGGTGTATGCCAATGAATTCGCGTCCCAACTTGACCTGATCCTCCGCTCATTCAAGCGGCCCCTCGTCACGCTAATATTCCTCGGCTTCTTTGGGGTGATAATATCAATACTGATGCAAAATCTGAATGCCGCCTCACAGTTTCCCGGACCATTTTCACCATACAATCCGAATTCTTCATTCCGACATGCCTCGTACGCCGACTTTCCGACGTTAATGAACATAGAATCGTCGTTCGAGAAGATTGTAGACTCTGCAGCTGGTGGTAGCGCTTTAGCTAGGGTGATGAAGCAGAGCGAGATGGCCGTCAGCGACCTGAGCACCGTCGTCCGATACTCTGAATTAAAGTGCAAAGAGACCCTTGCTGAACGCCTGGATGTCTTTGCTAAAGATGCGAAGATGAACGTGAGAGCTTTACAGGGGTTTGGGAGTAAGGTTGGCGGAGTGCTAGACCAGTAAATATACCACCCTCCCCCTAACACCTATCACCATTAACAGTAAAATCTAGACTCCTCTCAATAAACCAATATGCTCTTCTTCAGCTAACCACAATTCAACACCAATCTCACCACCAATCCTTCCTCACCAAGCTCCTAAACCCAATAAAATCTCTCCTAACCTCCACCCCGACTCCCGATTCAACAGACCCCCAAACACATGCTCGCATTTCTGAAACCTTTAACAAAGCCGCCGAAGTACTCGAGTCAAACCTCCGCCTGCTTGTCTCGGACGGCGAAACAATTTTCACCTCACTAACGGCACTAACAGAGCAGCATAAACCAATCTACGACGAGATCGTGCGCGAAGTAGTTGATATCAAAAAGGAAGAAGCGCTCGTGCTTTCTTCCTTGTGGACACGCTTCGGCGGCAACGCTGCCCAGCGCAAGAACTTTCGCGAGAACGCACAGCTCCTCGCCGTCATTGGGAGTTATGAGGAGCAAGCTAGGGGTTACGTAGAGAGCACAGTGTTAGAGTTAGACCGTATGACGGCGGATTTAGAGCTTTTAAGGAGGAGAGTGGCAGAACCATTGTTGGTGGAAGGCGCGAGTGCGGGAGTGGGAAGGGCGGGAGATAAAGCTAGGGGAGCCCAGATTCCGCTCAGTGTGCACATCGAAGCTATCGAGGGGGCAGTGACGAGGTTGGTTAGGAAGCGTGCTCAGAGGAGAGAGAGGGAAGGGAATTGGATTGACAAAATGGAGGGAGCAAGAAAGGAGGAAATTTTGGTGGAGTCTTAGTGGGGGCAGGTTTCTCTTTTCTTTTGTTTTTTCCCTTTCTTGCTTGGCTTTGGTTTGGTGTTGTTATCTGCAGTAACCCACAGCGATTCTATACCTCCTTTCTTTCTTTCATCTGGGTTTGGGTCTTTCTGCTCTACTTCTAGTCAGCGTTTTTTTCTATGGGTGGTCCACTTCCTTCTCTCATTCTACCTACCTTTTCACTCAGGCACCGGGACGGGCGTAATCGGTGGTTTCAATCATCGGAGTCACGTAGTCGTTTTTTCTTCCTCCTTATATCCTTTTCTTATATCTTTATTTTTTTGTCTCTGCCCTTTTTTTTCTTTTCTTTTTTTTTTGTTTCGTAGTCTCTTGTGTTAGAGAAAAAGGTCTTGTATAGTCGCGTGATATTCTTGTACATTGCCGAGGTTTTATTGGGATTGGAATTGTCTGCAGTGCGTTTGGATTGGGTGGGATGTGAATTTTGCGAGATTTTTTTGTAGGTGCTTTTTTATTTATTTTATATTATATATTTGTTGAAATTTTATAGTGTTTGTTGAGATTTTTGGAGTCTATGGGCTTTTTGGCTTCCATATGTGTGTAGGGGGGGACAGGGAAGAGTAGTGGTATTCACGAGTTGTGGCCTAATGCATATAGTGCAGTAGCAGAACATTGGTAGCATTGTTTGTTAAGTTTGTTAAGTTTTCTCGTGGCTTTCATTACTCACGCGATGTATGATACTAGCTTCTGGTCATCTCACTCTACATGTGCGCAGGTGATAGGTATCCCATGACGCATTTTACGACCTCACAAACATTGCCTGTCATATGGTATTTTTTTCCTCCAAAGCGGGATAGAATATAAGTATCTCGACTCACGATGCACACATTCGCCTCCTGCTTCATTACATTATCACCACAAGCAATATCGTTCGAATTATTACGCTTTGTCGTTATCCCACGATAATATCGTATACCCAACCCTGCGAACCCCCGGAAGAAGGATGGTGATACATTCGGGTCGCGGATACCGTTGCGGAGTGGGGCAGCGAAGGCGAAGAGGGGGGAGTGGGATGAGATAGGTACACACCCGACCAAGAAGGCGAAGTTGGACATGATCGAGGCGAAATTCCTCGAGACCTTCTACTGCTCCTCCAACAACATCAAGGCGGCAGTTGCATACGAACACGAGAACCAGAAGCAGTTGCTGGATTTCGGGGTGCCTGCCTGTATCGACAAACCATTCAACATTCCGGTGGAGTTATTACGCTGGGGACGCGCAAATCTGCATGGGCGTGATATGTCACCCCTCAACCTCCATGGTAAACTCAGTTACCCATCCACTCCCTCTTCCACCCCTCTTTCAACTACACACGTACTACAGCCGTGTTTTCAATCGGCACGTTCAACTATAACCACAATATTTGGGACGGTGCAGGAGAGGAAATGGATGCCCTGCTACAGTCGTGTATTAATGTTTCCCGGGTTCCGGTTCAACTACTCCCAGGCTTTTCTGCCCCCCCCTCACCACTCGTGCCCAGAGATAGAACGAAGCTGAGGCTGTTGGGCGGTTGTATCTTTGGAGCGCTAAGAGGGGAAGTCAGTTGAGCGTGGAGGGGTTATGGGAAAGGATAGCTGGAGCAAATACAGTAAGAACTGGAATAATTGAGAATCTCGCTAGGACGTTGGAGTTGCCTCTCCTAGTAGGGTCTGTTAATTTTCCTTTTTGTCTTTCTCGACGGGTGCTATATTTTCTCCGCCTAGTCTAAAGGGGGGAATTTTGGACGTCCTAGCGCCATTCTCAATTATTCCAGTTCTTACGGTTGGCTATGCTTTATCTGACTCGGGGCCCGCCAGAGGGCAGCCTAGTACTGGAACACTAAGACCTCGGCAGAGCTTATACTACCACACTGTTCTCGGGATATGGCAGCCTTCCCACAAATGGGGCTTTATTATTATATATCATTACGCTCACGAAGCCACAGGCTATGAAGTGATATGCACATATATCGGCCAGGACATACCAGCCCATTCGCGGTTCCAACTCCTACAGCTGCCATCAACCTCCAAAAAATTCTCGAGTTTAGAGGCCTACAGGAGCATTGCATCATTACCACCTCTCTCTTGGGTTCTCAAAACTCTATACAACAAACTCTCTTCAGCTATCCAGATCCTCCACTTCACTTGCCCAGTCCTTCCACGTCTCCTTTTCTCTGACTTTATCAACCTCTACACTTTATCAACCTCTACACACTATCTCATGCTCCCAGATCTTTTTACGAGCTCTTCCTTCCTCCAGCCCAAATAAGGCTTCGAATACATTATATACTACGGATTGCCAACTAGCATAAAAAGCCGCCTTTCTAAGAAAGTCTCCCGCTTGGCGTTCCTCCATCTTCAGTGATCGAACTTTGTAGTCTTATTCTTTTCGGAAGCAAAGGTGTCGGAGGATCACACCACCTCCGCCACTTCACATGTCTCGGCCGCGTCTTTCACGTGCTCGAGGGATTCAGAGGGCTGAGGGGAGGTAGGGGGTGAGCGGTTAATACTAGTATTCACATTGAACTTCCAGAGCTCGAACATCCCACATCTGTTTATCTCTCCGCCTAATCCGTAGCGCCCAGAGCTATGATATTTCGCCGGTGCATACTCCAGGTGTTCTAATGCCTGAGGTAACCAAGTCCATGCAACTACTATTTGTGGATTATTCGGATGTCTCGAGGAATCCTATGTGCTACTTTTGTCATGAACTATCACCCGTGGGTCAACCTGCAAGGGGAGCGAGGGCTTTGCTTGCTTATCTCTATGCCCCCCCCCAATTTTTTTTGGGGGTGGTAACGGATAATCCTAGCGCCTTAGAGCCATATTAGATTCATATCAGCCTAAGAATATATATGGAGTTGGCAGATTGACCGTAGAATGGCGAAGAAGATCTCATTGAGACGTTGTGCGAGATGTCTAAAAGGAAAAAGGATGGCACTTTTTCGGGTATCTGTTCGCATTCCTTTTATTTCTGTTAGTCGGTGAAGGCAGCCGCTGGTGATATATCCAGCTGGGAGAAATGCCAGGCAATAGTGCCTGCTCGTGGTTGGGGTCGCTCATGTGGGATGCTCGTCCCGCCTGCGACAATGGAGAGAACAATTTACTCCCCAGGAGATGTAGGGTTTGTTACTGCAGTGGGCGTTTTTTTTCTTGCAAATACCCTGGGTATCTCGGTTATATTCTACTGTATCTCTTGTCCTCTTCCTTCATGGGAGGGTCGTACACTATGGTATACTGCCGGCCAATATACCTGGATATATCGAACTAGAGGATAATTTTGTGATTCATCTTGGCGTTGATGATATTGGGCCCTAAATCGCACATCTTGCTGCTGCCATAGTATTTTAGGTCAAGATATTTTGCCGGGCCTTCTTGGCATCTCACCATAAGGCCTATATAAGAAGGCATCCCACCACCTTTCTCCTCTTTCTCCTCCACTCATTTCTTTTACTTTTTTACTCCACACATACTATATAAAAACAGGTGGGATGGAAATATAGGTGGACAGGTGGGAGAAAATTTACTAATAGGAGGAATGGAATATAGGTGAGCTGGTGGGTGGGCTTTTATTAATAGGAGGGATGGAATATAGGTGGGTTGGTGGGTGGGAATCTACTAACAGGAGGGATGGAATATAGGTGGGTTGGTGGGTGGGAATCTACTAACAGGAGGGATGGAATATAGGTGGGTTGGTGGGTGGGAATCTACTAACAGGAGGGATGGAATATAGGTGGGCTGGTGGGTGGGAATTTACTAACAGGAGGGATGGAAGATAGGTGGGCTGGTGGGTGGGCATCTGCTAATACAAGTAGGAGAAAGATCTATAAGGACAAATTATTTTTAAAGTGTTTCTGATACTTGCTTTTATATACTAGTATTACTAGCTAGCAACCTACAATAATTGTATGGTAAGAGCAATCTCCAAAGGAGAAGCCACAGTATTGTAAAACTATATTGTTTTCTACAGTATAGTTTTACTCTACAAAGGTTACATTTATACTAGCATGTTATAGTTGAGGGAGAGTAGTTATTATAGAAGGTAGTATTAATCTGAGATGACTGATAAGGGAATCGAAGATGTAGAATACACTGAATAATTAAAGTTATATTTTGATAATATAATATTATAGTAATTCAAACTTAACTATTGAGTTTTTTGTTAAGAATATGAAAATATATTACAACTGAAGTAATTTAATAAAATAGGTTTATTTATAATAGAAGTTTTGCCTCAATACTTATCTCAAATTACTTTAGATAAGTTTTCTTATTTTGTTACTTATTTGTTGTACAAAATTATAATATTATATGAGTATAGTTTGTAGTTATGAAATTAGTTATTACAGAAGTTAGTATTATAGAATAGGATAGTATGGTACAGCTATTAGATAATAGTCTGCAGTTTGAGTACATTAAAGACTTGAATAATCGGACGGTGTGCTACGTAGTCCGGAATTTCCTTCTCCAGAAGGGGCAAAAAACACTGCAAAAACACAGCACCTTTCCCCCTTCCGAGACAGAATTTTTTTTCTTCTTCTTGACATTATCATACTTAGAGAGGAAATCCCAACGACATAGCACACCGTCCAATTATTCAAGTTTTTACGGTAGGCTTACTACTCAGATGTCATTTTGTCAAGCATACTCTAATAGTTGCGGCCTAGTTCAAACTTCTAAGATATGACCAATAATGTTAATATTTGAAACAGTGCCACTGCGCCATAGGCTTTGCGCAACTGGATACTTGGAATCAAATTTTATTCTAGCTATGATATAATTTATTCCTTCGGGTTCTTTACTCAGCTACTACGAGAGGAAACTACAATGCACTGCTGACAACATGAGTACTATTTATTCAAGCTCTCGTAATGGCTATGCTCTAACCGTAATCGGGGTCTAAATTTCAACTGTCGGCATAATGGAGAGACAGAATTTTACAAAAGTCAAATAATATAGTGATAACAACTTTCCGTCCAAGTTTATTTGATATTCTTAGGCTCAGAAATAAGTAAGGGCACCAAGAGTATTAAGTGCGGTAGGAAAAAACGTAGATTAGGATACTCGGAAGTGACTTACTAGAAGGATTCGCATACCACAGGATAGATAACCAAAGTGTACTGAATAGAATAGAATAGTACCAATCTGTATATAGCTATTCATATATATCTCACAGTGCACATCTAAAGTGGAAACCTATCTTGGGGAAACGAGTTTATGAGTGCCAGTCGCTCTTTTCCAACTCCAAAATCCTCCTATGCGAAGTCATACAGTTAAAGCCAGCTATAAAAACAGCCACTACTATTCGCAGCAGGTGCAGAAGGATTTCGAGCAGTGTATTATCTTGTTTATTCTAGCTGGCAGCCTAAGGCTGTCACGCAAATCAAGATACTGACGCATGTACACCGGAAGAGCGGTGTACCAGCACCAAACTGTCTCCCGTTTACACGAGCCCACCCAGCCCGCTGCACCCGAACCCCTAGCCGGCCGTCAAGCGTACTGGTGCAACAAAGGTATTTAGCCA